ACCCTGGTTCTCATACACATTTGACTCTGATTTCCTGGGTACTTTGACCATACCAATGCTATACTTGATTATTTGCTAATATTGTTTTCCAACTGTTCTGCGTAATACTGGTCTCTCAGGCATGTTATAAGAACTATATCTTTTTAAAAAATGTTTATTTATTTTGAGAAATAGAGGGGGGTGGGGCAGAGAGAGAGGAGAGAGAGTCCCCAGCAGGCTTCATGCTGTCAGCACTGAGCCTGACACAGGGCTCAATCCCACAAACTGTGAGATTACGACCTGAGCTGAAACCAAGAGTTGGACGCTTAACTGACTGAGCTACTCAGGCACCCTTAAGAACTATATCTTTAAAAAATTTGTTTTTTAATTTTTAAATGTTTATTTATTTTTGAAAGAGAAAGAGAGTGTGAGTAGAGGAGGGGCAGAGAGAGAAGGAGACACAGAACCTGAAGCAGGTTCCAGGCTCCGAGCTGCCAGCACAGAGCCTGATGTGGGGCTCGAACTCACACACTGCGAGATCATGACCTGAGCCAAAGTCAGGCGCTCAACTGACTGAGCTACACAGGTGCCCTAAGAACTATATCTTAAATGCAGCAGTGACCAAAGCCTTTGACAATAGTAGGTGTATAATAAATTATTTGTTGATTGATGGACAGAATGATAGTGAATACTGTTGAATGAGAAAAGTTTATAAAATCTGTGAGAAGAGGGGATGATGAAGAGGTCATGTGGATACTTTCTCTTGTTAGGTTTTAAAGAGTAAATCCAGGTAAAATTTTAAAAAATATCATGCTTATTTGTCAGAGGATATAACTTAAAAATTGTTTTGGAAAAATACTCCTTCCTGAAGAATAGAGTTGAGAACCACTGATGTAAACAAATGTAGGCTTTCTTTAAAGTGGGGGAGGGGCTTGACCATGGCATTTTTTACTTCCAACGTCAGGTTTCTTTGATATAGTTCCAAACTGTAAATTTGACATTGTTATTATGAGGAAAATTAATATTCCCAATTCCTCTGTTGGAACTCATACTCTAATAAAAAAATCGACCTCTGTATTCCAAATCTCTGAAAAATAAACACAATAAATCCTGCATACCGAAAAATACAAACCTTTTATGTAAAGAACAAAGAGATCTCTGAGTTGAATTGTACAAATATTATTTGCTATAGGCCATCTAATGGTGTACTGTAACTAGAAATTATTTGCAACCAAAGCATATGGTAATTCCATAAAGCTGCCACACTAGACTTCCAAATAACACATCTAAAGGAAAAAGTCAAATGTGCTTCACTCACAGCAAGATATAAAACTGTTGTGAAAAAAAAAAAAAAAAACAATTGTTGCTGGTTTCTTTCATTTGCTGTTTCTACTGCCTTTCTATGATGGGCTCTCTTAGGGTTCGAGTTGTGTCCCCCAAGATATTTTGTTGGAGTCCTAACTTCCAGTACCTCAGAATGTGACTATATTAGGAGATAGGGTCTTTTTTTCCCTCTGTTTTTACTTATTTATTTATTTTGAAAGAGAGAGAGAGTGCGCAAGCAGGGGAGGGGCAGAGAGAGGGAGAGAGAATCTCAAGCAGAGCCCCACATAGAGCTAGAACTCATGAACCGTGAGATCATGATGTGAGCCGACATTGAGAGCAGCTTAACCAACTGAGCCACCCAGGCATCCAGGACATAGGGTTTTTAAAAAGGTGATCAAATTAAAATGAGGTTATTAGGGTGGGCACTAATCCCATGTGACTGATGTCCTAACAAGGAGAGGGGTATTAGGACGCAGGCACACACAGAGGAAAGACATGATGAAGACACTGAGGAAAGGTGACCATCTACAAGCCAAGAAGAGTGGCCTCAGAAGAAAGCAATTCTGCTGACACCTAGATCCTGCACTGCTAGCCTCTAGAAATGTGAAAAAATAAATTGCAATCTTTCGAGCCCTCCAGTCCGTCATACTATGTCACAGAAGCTCTAGCAAATGATAGGAAGCACCTTTCCATCTTCCCCTGTGGTCATGTAGAAGGCCTTTTGGCTTTCCAGTGACCACTCTCCTACTCCTCTGCAGGTCAAAGCACCACACTGCCCAGCTGATCTGGATGGAATTTGATTTTGAGATCCATAATCAGGTACCAATTTGACTCATATTAGAAAGTTTCCATGAGGACATTTATAGGTATCAGAAGAAAGAGAAGCATGGCAGCTTTGAATAATTACGGGCAGCAGATGAAATTAGGAATGAGACTTTCTCACTGATCCAAATGCATCCTAGAAGTCAAACCCATCCTGGTCTGGAGATGCTCTGAGGAAACGAACCTAATATCACTTGTGCAATGACAGATGCCACTCTGAATTTTGAAATAGAGTTCTGCTGTTTCCTAGCTGTATTTCTTCATTTTCTCAGGTACACATCATTTTCCACATAAAAAAGTAGGGTTAATATAGTGCCTACTTTCTTAGAGTGAGCATGAAGATTACCTGACTTAGCCCATGTGTGTGGCTGAGAGAAAGCAATCCATAAATGTTAACTATTATCATTAATATTAGGTAGTAGTTTTGTATGTGTTGTACATTTAATGTGATCTTTTCTAGTCTCACTTGTATTGTTTTCTTATACATTTTGCCTCAGATTCCTGACTATGATACATAAGGACACAGGATTATTGTACCCCAAAACACAGAGATTTAGTTTCATATAAAATGACGGGTTTTTTTTTTTCCTAAACTATTATCATTATTGCATTGGGAAGTGTTAAGAAGACTAGTTAGAGATAGTCTGAATAAGTCAGTCTAGGGGGAATATATGACAAACCAGAAAAATCAGATTCCAGTCAAAGATGGTATGGTTATGAATTAACCATAAATTCAAATTATGGACAGATAATGTATATCATATATATTAGCAGTCACACATTCCATTAGAAGCCACGTTTACTTCATATTGCATATTCAAAATTTGCAAATGGCTGATGCTTCAGCATTGTGGAAATACTTAACAATTTTGAGGGGATTTTGACAGTGAGTTTAAAAATACACTCCTTATTATAAATATGCACTGGAAATAATTTCATGAGCATGCTATAATTTAAAGTATTGATGTGAAACTGAAGATGATTTTATTATTTCATTTTCTCAAGTACTAAGATGCATGTTGGATTTATTTAGAATAGCAGTTTTTCAAATAATAATTTATTTACATAATTAGTAATACATTCTAGACCACTAAAACTGTCCCATTTAAAAAAACGTATAGTATGAGTTTTGGCTTTGCATCACTGGAAATACTTGCTGATGGATAGATTTGTCTTAATATCAGTCGATCATACACCTGCAATTATTTTTTATCATATGTTAGAGTGAAAACAAGTTTTATTTTAGAAGACATGGAAATGAATATTATGTCATAATTCTAAACACTCAAGAAGTCCAAAATTGATGAAAGCTTAAAAAATATGCTGTGATGTTGACAAGACATGAGAATATTTGCCTCACACACCATGGCAAGTCACATTTTTTCATGAATGAATATTTTCTTTCAAGAATACTTAAAAGTACACACACACAAAGAATACTTAAAAGTACAGAAATTCATGCACAATCAACTCACTGTGTTTATATAGGAAATAAAGAGAAATGATGAAACAAGGAGATTAAAACAGAAAAAAAAAGCCATCATATTATGGGGAGAAGAATTTATTAAATTTAGCTCATACTAACAACTACTTATTAAATAGTTACTATGTGCTTTACATGCTGTAAATTACTGAGTCACTTAAAAAAATTTTTTAAAGTGATAAAAGGATAAAGGAGAAGGAGAAAAAAAAAAGGCCACCATCACAGTCCTCTCCTTCATCCCATGGGGAGTCTTTCTGAATTTACAGTATGTTTTAATTTGGAAAATACTGTAATTAAAGGCTCCAATTAAATATACTTAGCAGATTCACCTTTCAGTTACAAAACTAGAGAGAAGGACTTCAAATCACCCAGAAGAACTTAGTCCACCTTGAATATTAGCACAGAGTTGAACATCTCCAGCAGTTTTCTGTAGCTGTTCTTGACGGCTACCTGCATCCTGCTCTGATCTTCGGGCAGGGCCTCCTCTTTACCGGATGGCTCTGACTGCCAGAGAGGTGAATGTGCACCATTCCCTCCCTCCTACCTGCTAGAGTCACCGGGTACCTGGAAAGCCACCTCCCATGGGCACAGACACCTCAAAAGTAGGCATCAACAACACTCACAGTGGCTTGCTTCCTGGAAGCCATTTTTACCATGGCTGAGGAAAGCACCTTGAGCACTGTGATTTTAACGGCACCCACAAAATAACAAGGTAATAAACAAGGCTGGAAGAGGAACAATGAGGGGGAAATATTCAAAATAACCAATCCAACCAAATCTAATGACACATTCAATTGATGTAATCAAGGTTCTTTAATAACTGAGATTTTGTCTACATTCTCAAAAGAAATGTGAAATAATGTGAATGACCGCATTTCTCAGATTGCCCCAGGATGTGCTGCTATCTTCATTACAATTTGGGCCAAGAAAATTGGGGGGAATAGGGAGAAAGTGCAGGAACTCTTTGAATTCTGGCTACAAATATAAATGGGTTCCTCACAATTTCCAGCAAAGGTGTTTAACATGATGGATGTAGGCACAGGCTTGGACAATTTACATGTGTGGGGAACAAATCACAGATCATGAAATTAGGGCCAGAGAAAGAGTCTTTAGAAGTCACTTTGTCCAGTCCCTCATTTTTGATGTGAGAAACTGAGACTCAAAATATGAACTGACTTCCCCAATACAACACCATGGCCTCCTGGGACAGAGGGGTCAAGGGCTTAGATCTCCCGTGAGGTCTTGAAAATTATGACACAAGTTGCCAGGGGTTACTGGTGTATGGAGACCACATCTGCAACATTTCTTTAAGATAAGAAGTGAAATAGAAATATAACTGATGCCTCCACTCCCATCCTCAATTCCAAAGAAAACAAATCACTTTACTCACCTGCAGGGAAAAACTCGCCCATTTTCTTTCTGTAGATTTTAAAGTCAACTTCTAAGAAGACACAGAAGATGATCCGGTCCACCTAGAGGCAAACAATAAATACTCAAAGTGAAAGATAATATGGTGACCCTGGGATATGAGAAATATTCCACAACATGGTCTTGGAACAACAGCGACAAAAAGAAACAAATGGAAAAGCCTCCTGCAGATTCTTGATGCTATACTGCTAACTATATGACAGTATTGAGTGAAGTTCAAGTGTGTATTTGTGTGTGTGTGTGTGTGTGTGTGTGTGTGTGTGTGTGTACTCTTTATGTGAATAAGCCCATAGGCTCTTTGGCGGAAAGATGTTATATAAATCAAATAAGAAATAATAAATGACAATCAGCCACTTTGCAGCAAGCTATAAATAAGATCGGAGATTCCGACAGGATACCTAGACTTTATGTCCTATAAAACAACCATATGAGAGGTATAGCAGAATGACAATCAAGTATGTCAGTAAACAAAGAGCTCTTTGTCCTACCCTTCTTAGACAAATATGTTTATCAAACCTGTTAGTATTTGAACATGGCCTATAAAGCTTCTTGTAGTTTAATTTTCTTTTAGCTTAACATTCTCAGAAATGCAACAGAAGTAAAACATAATTAGTTGACAGTGATGTGAGGTCAATATAACTTTAATCTGGTAGATATTGTTGACTAAGTAAATGCCACCTCAGGAGTAAAACATGTGTACAATCTCTTCTTTCTGTTTTGAGAGGGCTTCTATACATAAGGTGTTTGAGACATTCAGAGAATAATATGGTAAACAGAAGAGAGATGGGGTACATCTAATAGCTCACGTATATCTGATATTAAATCAGTGACTCAATTTCATGTCTTGAAAATAAACATCCCTTTAGATCCTTTATTTTAAGAGTCTACGAAAAGTTAAAAATTACTCGATCTATCAAACTACAACTGGTAATTGAGTAGAACATCAAAGGAGGCATTTCTCATGGCAATGGGGAATAAAGGTGGGGTGTGCACAGGGCAGGACATGAATGAACCCACATGGATGTCATCCCCCTAGCCCTTCAGCTCTCCCAGCCTGTGTGGTACAGACTCAACCCGAGGCAAGTCCAAAGTTCCCAGTGGGACAGAAGATCTACAGGGGTAGGTTGGTAGGGAGGGCTAGGACACGAGGAATGGTCAGGGTTTCCTGTTGGAAGCTCAGAGACGTAGCTCCCTGATCCCTGCACAAGTCCATTTGGGCAGCCTGCTGGGCAGTTGCTGGACTTCTATGCTGTAATCACTAAATACCACGCAGCCCCAGTAATCCCTGCCCATAGAATGGATTGTAAGAGAAAGCATCTGGCATTCAGAAATGGAAGGACTGGGCTGCAAATAAACCTTATTTTCTTTTTACTGTATTCACTTGAGTTTCTGGTGTCCAGTCCTGTCTGCATATCATTAACATTTTCTACAAACGCAACAACCATCACCATCAACTCACTCTTTGGGTGAAATGTAAATTGAGTTGAATAAATGATTAGCTGTCTGTGCAAAACTGAATGCTCGTCTATGCTCTCCTTCTGGTGTGTTTATGCCCTATAGCTAAAGATAAGAATCATAATGTTGAGCAATAGAAATGAGTTACAAAAAACATTCTCTATGATACCATTTATACACATTTTTAAAGCACAAAGATATAACAGTGTAGGGATTCATTGAAAAGCACTGATATAGAGAAACATTCTTAGAAATGTCACACATGAATTTCAGGAAAGAGACTTGAGAAAAATATGGCACATGGGTAGTAGCTATTAAACTATGGGGGCAGGTACATAGATACCATATTATTTTCTATACTTTTTGGTATATTTGAGAAGTTTTATAATTGAAAGTCATAATACCAAAAATAAGACTCTGTGTTAGACATACTCTACTCTCTAGCTGTATTGTACTGCTTGTAGTTCTCAAATGCCAGAATTATCCTTACTTCCACACCTATCACAGTTGACTTTTCACCAGGCTTCAGATGGTCAGATTATTTCTAAAGCCACCTAATTGAGATCAAAACAAAACAAGAAAACTTGATTCAAAGCAGATCTAAGGAGACCAAACTGGAAAGTCTCATTTTTACTCATTTCTCCCTATTTTTGTGTACTCAATATGAATTATGGATTTTTTTAACCCTCCTGTTGCTTGTGTGTATGTGTGTGTGTGTTTTCTGTGTGTGCGTTTGCATGGGGAAGGGTTAGTGGTGGTAATGCTATTCATTTCTGTCAAGGGAACTTTTAACCACCACAGAAACTAAAGGCAGATTTCTTAAATATTGCAAAGGATTATAATCCACCTTTTAGCATTTTAGGTTTTGTTACCATGGAAATGGTATGTCCAAATTTCAGCGGCCTGATTTATTTTCCCAAAGAGTAGATGGATGATGGGGGAAAAGTACTTTTATTTTAAACTAATTGAGTGACCCATTTCCCTGCCCTTACCCTGAGGCATAACACTGAAAATATCTTGGAAGTAAGTTGAATACAAGAATTAACCCTCACCTACCAAACACTTGTTATGTATGCATATACGCATGTACTTACATATGTGTACATAAACTTATTGTCTGGGGTTATTGCTGAAAAAGAGCTCTGTTAGTTGACAAGCTCTGTGTTTATAAACTCAGAGTGGATATTGATCACTGTTTATGATACGTTGTTTTTCCAAGATGGCATGCAATAAGATATCCCATCGCTCGTACTCTCTTAAAATGTAATGCTAATACTCCTTTCATTGAGAATGGGATCTATATTTCCTCCTCTTGAATCTATGACTGCAGAAATACTATGTGACAGAAATACTATATGACTTCCAAGTCTATGTCATAAGAGGTGATACAGTTTCTGCCTGGTCCTTTTGGGATGATTGCTCTTGTACCCAATCTTCATGCTATGAGGAAGCAGACAGACCACATGGAGAGTCCATGTGTACAAGTTCTAGCCAATAATCCTACGTAAAAGTGAGTAGCTTCTCAATGACTTCACCTCCTAGTTTTTGACCTACCCCAGGTGATGCCCCATGGAGCAGAGATTGGTTGTTCCTGCTAAACTCTGCCCAAATTGTATGGGCAAATTCTCTTATGAACAAAAGAGAAATACATAGCCAGAAATCTGATATTCTGGTTTCTTCCTATTGCCAATTGTTTGGATTCTTGCTTTTCTAGCTGTGTAGTACTGGATCTCTCTTGAAAGGCTCAGACCAAATGGATCAAGATCAAGTAGAAGCCACAATGGGGTAACAAGAAGAATATAGAAAGTCTAACTGGTACATGGCTGAGAGGTTGGAAATCTGACTTGCACAAAGGGGAATGAGCTGGGTGATCCATTCTAGCCCCAGATAAATTACATGAGAATATATAAGAATGCCTCACTATTGAGTATTGAGGCTCAGGAGCATATTTTCAATCTGTCTTTTATGTTGGGCAATAGAACAATTTTGTAAAACAGTTGTTCTTGAGAGACTATATTTATTCATCTATTTAAGAGATATTAGCTGAGCACCTCCAATTTCTTGGGGCTCACCCATGTGCCATTTTCTCACGAGAAAACTTGAATCCAGGTGCTTTTTTTGTCAAGGTCAAATAATTAGTGGCAAAATCTGAGGCATCTTAACTTGACATCCAATGTTCTTTCTGTGGTATCACCCCGATGGAGATACACAGGACTGAGTTTCTAGGCCTGTCACTAGCTCTGTGACATTGGACAAGTTATTATCTCTCTGGGACCCGGCTTTCAGGTCTTATGAAGAAAGAATTGAACTAAATAACATCTACACTTTCTTTCTTTCTTTCAAAAGTTTTTTTTTTAATGTTTATTTATTTTGCATGAGAGAGAGGGAGAGAGAGTGCGAGAGAGAGAGAGAGGGGGAGAGTCAGAGAGGGAGGGAGAGAGAAATCCCAAGCAGACTCCATGGCACTGTCAGTGCACAGTCAGTCACGGGCTCAAACTCTCAACCGCGAGATCATGACCTGAGCCAAAAGCAAGAGTCGGACACTTAACTAACTTAGCCACCCAGGCACCCCTCTTTTTTTCTTTTTAATATCTCATTCATAGCCTATCCCTGTGGTAATTTTGTACTATGTCAATTTAGCTAAGCTGGAATAATGCTTCTCTGAATGGTTCGATGTTAGCGTTGGCCACAGAGAAATTTCCATGAGATTTTGAGGGCAGAAGTGGAGCTGCAGCCATGGTACTAGGCGGGTAGCTGGAGGACTCCAGGCAGGTGGGGTGCACTGCTGCTCATCAGCTGGTGTTGGGTAGCAGCTGGGCTCACAGCTTCTTCAGCTCCTGCTCTTTCTCCCAACTCAGGTTCTCTTGGTCTAGGCCAGGCACGCATGTAACTCTGCTTCAAGGGCACCAGCTCCTTCTGTAGGGCTTTGCAGCTTTGGCGTTCCATCCAGGGAGACAGATGCATGTGGCAGATTGTGTGGTTCCAGTTTGCTCGTATGGTTTCTACTTTGACCTTGTTCTTCCCCACTTTGCATCCAGCTTTCCTGTTCATCACTTTTTTTTAACATTTATTTTTGAGAGACAGAAGGAGAACATGAGCAGTGGAGGGGCAGAGAGAGAAGCAGACACAGAATCCAAAGCAGGCTCCAGGCTCTGAGCTGTCAGCACAGAGCCCGACGCAGGGCTGAACCTCATGAATCATGAGATCATGACCTGAGCTGAAGTTGGACAGTTAACAGACTGAGCGACCCAGGTGCCCCTCCTCTTCATCACTTTTGACCTGTCTCTTTACCACCTGCCCTGCTGACACACTCCAGGCCTGGTCAGATGCAGAGGCAATAGCCTTCCACAGACTCCTTTCACCAGCTCCTCTCATGGGTACTGGGTAAGGGCTTTGCTCTGCTCAGTCAACTATCCCCTTGAAATTTACACCCACAATTGTATAAGATCTAATCCGTATAATAAATCCTGTATTCCGTATCACTCATAAAGTTCTGCTTCTCCAATTAAACCACAACTGATGTAATCTTTAATAACATTTCATTGAATAACATGTACAGGAACACAATGAAGGGCAAAAAAATAAATAG